TGCAGCCGAGCCGCTCTACACCCGAGCCTCCCAGCAGCCGAGCCGCCCTACAGCCGCGCCGCCGGGTCGCCGAGCTGCCGAGCTGCAGTTGCTGCCGAGCCGCCCTGCCGCCGAGCCGCCCGAGTCGCCCGAGCCGCAGAGCCGCCGTGCTGCCGAGCCTCTGAGTCGCCGAGCCTACTCTACCCACCACTGGTGAGCCCCTGCCCTGCTAGCACGCTGCGCGTCGCCTGCTTGCCTGCCTGCCTCCCTTTTTGGCTTGCCTGGCTGCCTGCCTTACTGCTGCTACTCCTGCTCCTGCCTCTACTGGTGGAGCCAGATGCGGCCCCATCGACGTCTGCGTGAGTCCCTCACGCCTCAGCAGCTGCGTGAGTGGTACGCTGGTTGGGGCTGTAGGGGTGGTGGCGCTACTACTGCTACCACTCCTGCTGCTTCTACTACTGGTGGCGGCCAGATGCAGCTCCCGCGACCCCCCCGCGCGTCTCTCACGCCTCAGCAGCTTCGTGAGTGGTACGCTCAGAGTGGAGGGTCTCTCAGTTCTGTTCGCTGCTCTTACGTGATTCTCACTGGTGCTCGAACTGGTCAGCCTTGTGGGACACCTAGTCATACACAGTCCCGCTGCTTCGCCCGTCTGAGCGACGCCTGGCGTACCGTGTTTGGCGACGAGGCTGAGCTCCCCGACTGGGTGGAGTTGCTTAGGCAGAGGGTAGATATATTTGCTCTTGACTATGATGCTATTCTCACTGCCATGTATGCATTGCCTACTAGTGCTGACCGTGCCGGTCACCTGTGCGTACCGCCTGACCCGGGTATAGGACCTGCTGCTCTAGCTACTGGTGAGGCTGCTGCTGCTCTGGGTGCTAGTGAGTCTCCTGCTCCAGGTACAGGTGCGGCTGCTGCTCTAGGTGCTAGTGAGTCTGCTTCCTCAGGTGCGGGTGAGGCTGCGCTCTCAGGTACCACGTTGGCTTCGGCCTCCCTCACCTTTACACTTGACTCTGGGGCTTCTCGCTCCTTCTTTCGGGACCGCACCACACTCACGCCGCTTGGTCGGCCTGTTGCAGTCTCCCTGGCTGACCCCTCTGGGGGTCCTGTCCTCGCTCACTTTTCCACTGTCCTCCCGTGTCCGGCTGCCCCCTCGGGCACCCTGTCTGGCCTGTACCTCCCCTCGTTCTCGACGAACTTGGTGAGTGGTGCAGACCTGCAGGATGCGGGGGTTCACCAGTTCACTCCTGCGAGTCAGCGGGTGACCCACTGCACGGACGCACGCACAGGCCGGCACCTGGCCACGTTCTCGCGTCGGCCGGGGTCGAGCCTCTACACCCTGACCACTGAGTCTCCTCCTGTCCCTGCGTCCGGTCAGGTAGCAGCGTCAGGTCAGGTGTTTGCTGCTGCGTCCAGGTCTGGTCCTGAGTCTGCCCCCTGCTCGTGTCGCCTCTTGTCTCACGAGACTCTCCTGTGGCACCACCGTCTTGGCCACCCCTCCTTGCCCCGTCTTCGGAGCATGGCTTCCCGTGTCCTTGTCTCTGGTCTTCCCCAGTCTCTCCCTCCCCTTCCTTCGGGACCAGGACCTTCCTGTGTCCCCTGTGTCGAGGGGCGCCTCAGGGCTGCTCCTCACTCCTCCCAGTTTCCCCCGACAGAGGCTCCTCTGCAGACACTTCACATGGACGTGTGGGGCCCGGCCCCCGTCCGTGGGCAGGGTCACGAGCGCTACTTCCTGTTGGTGGTTGACGACTACTCGCGTTACACCACAGTCTTCCCCTTGCGCAGCAAGGGTGCTGTCACTGAGGTGCTGATCGACTGGATCCGCGAGGCTCGTCTCCAGCTCAGGAGGAGCTTCGGCTCGGACTTTCCTGTTCTGCGTCTGCACTCTGACCGAGGTGGGGAGTTCTCCTCTTGCCTTCTGCGAGAATACTGTCGTGCACAGGGGATCCGCCAGACCTTTACGCTTCCGGACTCTCCACAGCAAAATGGGATTGCTGAGCGCCGCATTGGCATGGTCATGGATGTCGCTCGTACGTCCATGATGCATGCGGCTGCCCCCCATTTTCTGTGGCCGTTTGCGGTTCGGTACGCGGCGCATCAGCTCAACCTTCACCCTAGGGTCTCTCGGCCCGATATGTCCCCAGTGTTACTGTGGACGGGGAAGGTCGGCGATGCGTCTGCGTTCCGTGTCTGGGGATCTCGGGCGTTTGTCCGCGACTTGTCTGCGGACAAGCTGTCCCCCCGTGCTGCTCCCTGTGTCTTCCTTGGCTTCCCCCCTAACGCTCCAGGGTGGCAGTTCTACCACCCCTCCTCTCGTCGTGTTCTGTCCTCCCAGGACGTCACGTTCGACGAGTCAGTCCCCTTCTACCGCCTCTTCCCCTACCGTACTCCTTCCCTCCCCCCCCCACCGGACTTCCTGGTGCCAGTTCCCCCCCCGGTAGACCCCCTCCCCCCTCAGGTTCCTGCCCCTTCAGGTGTGTCCCAGGTAGACACAGTCGAGCCAGTCGAGGTTGCTGCTGAGTCTGGTCCTGCTGCGGGTGCAGAGTCTGGGGGTGCTACGCCTGCGGGTGCTGAGCTTGGGGGTGCTGCTGCTGGGGGTGCTGAGCTTGGGGGTGCTGCTGCTGGGGGTGCTGAGCCGGGAGGTGCTACGTCAGGAGCTGCTGAGCCTGGGGGTGCTGAGCCTGGAGGTGCGGAGCCTGCGACTGCTGGACCTGGGGGCTCTCCGGTTGCTCCGTCTCGGCGGGAGCCGCTCTCTCCACAGGAGCTGCGCGAGTGGTTTGCTCGCCGCTGGAGGCGTGCTGCTGGAGCTGAAGCTCCTTCGACTGCTGAGGGTGCTGGTGCTGCCGGTCTCGGAGCTGCTGGGCCTGCGAGTCCTACTGGAGCTGGAGCTGCTGAGCCTGGGGGTGCTGAGTCTGGAGCTGCTGAGCCTGGGGGTGCTGAGTCTGGGGCTGCTGAGCCTGGGGGTGCTACGTCTGGAGCCGCTGAGCCTGGGGTTTCTCCTGGTGCTGCGTCTCGGCGGGAGCCCCTCTCTCCACAGGAGCTGCGCGAGTGGTTTGCTCGCCGCTGGAGGCGTACTGCTGGAGCTGGAGCTTCTTCGACCGTCGAGGGTACTGGTGCCGCCGGTCCCGGAGGTGCTACGCCTGCGGGTCCTACTGGACCTGGGGCTGCTGAGGGCGTTGGTGCTGAGTCTGCTGCTGTCTGTCCTGACGGTGGTTCTGTTGCTGGTGCTGCTGGAGGTCCTGCCGCTGGAGGTGTTGGTGGCGCTGGTGCTGCCGCTGAGGGTGCTGGTGCTGTCCCTGCTGAGTCTGGAGCTGCCGCGCGGCCTCGGCCGTACTTCGTTCCGCTTCTGCAGCAGGTTCTTGGTCTTTCTCCTCCGGTAGAGTGTCCACAGCCTGTCCAGTCGCAGTCACTGTTGGAGCCTACCTCCCCACTGCCTTCTCCCTCTCCTTACACTGGTCCTACTGGAGGTCTTGCTGAGCGTCGTGAGCCTGCGTCTCGTCCCGCGTCTCGTCCCGCGTCGCCTGTTCGTGCTGCCCGCGCTAGTGGTCGTGGTTCGCGTCCGCGTGCTCCTCCTGTCCCTGGCACGCACCGGATGTCTCTGCGTCCGTCCACTGCTCCTCTGCGTGCCCTTTTGCCTTCTCCTCCTGAGTCCTCCCTTCCTGTGCTTACCGACCCAGAGTCGGACTCCCTTCGTGCTGCCAGTCCTACTGTCACGCGTCTGCTTGCTACTGTCGTCACTGACCACTCTTTTGAGTCCGCTGCTGCGTCTGCTCTTGTCGCTGAGCTCGTCGACTTTGCTGCTCGCTGTCGTCTAGACTACGCTGCTAGTCTTGTTGCTGAGTCTGCGTCTGTCTGTCCTCCGTCCGTCGGGGGTGAGTGTGCTCTTGGCACGGACGTCCTAGAGGACAGGCAGGAGGAGTTCCAGTGTCTGGCTGCTGCTTCACCTCATCTCGCGTCTGTACTGCTTGCTCCTGAGGGAGACCCGGATGCACTAGACATCCCGACTCCGCGCTCTTACGCGGAGGCCGTAGAGGGTCCCTACTCCTCTCAGTGGCAGGCAGCTATGGATGCAGAGATGGCTTCCTGGAAGTCCACAGGCACCTACGTTGACGCGGTTCCCCCACCTGGGGCGAACATCGTCAGTGGCATGTGGATCTTCAGGGTGAAGCGGCCGCCGGGCTCTCCACCTGTCTTCAAGGCGCGGTACGTCGCTCGTGGCTTCAGTCAGCGGCAGGGAGTTGACTACTTTCAGACCTTCTCTCCCACCCCGAAGATGACCACTCTTCGGGTGCTGCTGCACATAGCCGCGCAGCGCGACTACGAGCTTCACTCTCTCGACTTCAGCACTGCGTTCTTGCAGGGTAGCCTGCACGAGGAGATCTGGCTGCGCCGTCCACCTGGCTTCACTGGGACTTTCCCTCCTGGCACCCAGTGGAGCCTCCGACGGCCAGTCTACGGTCTCCGCCAGGCACCGCGTGAGTGGCACGACACACTGAGGACTACGCTTGCGGCTCTTGGGTTCGCTCCTTCTACTGCTGACCCGTCGCTGTTTCTGCGCACCGACACTTCTCTGCCGCCGTTCTACATCCTCGTGTACGTCGACGACTTGGTCTTTGCCACAGCGGACACTGCTGGACTCGCCTACGTGAAGTCCGAGCTGCTGAAGAGACACACGTGCACAGACCTGGGTGAACTGCGCAGCTACCTTGGCTTGCAGATCACTCGGGACAGAGCACGCCGCACCATTACCTTGACTCAGTCACACATGGTGCAGCAGGTCCTTCAGCGCTTCGGCTTCACGTACTCCTCGCCTCAGGCCACTCCTCTGTCTACTTGTCACTCGCTCTCAGCTCTGCCTTCGGATGAGTCCGTAGAGTCGAGTGGCCCGTACCCAGAGCTTGTTGGTGTGAAGCAAGGAAAACAGGAATGAAAATGACGAAGTCAGAGTTGGGTACAAATACAACCCTAGAAAGCTGTACCCCATATGTGCTACCCCACTATAGCCTACAAACATGCATCAGTCATAATACTCTGACACACCCCCATAGGCAAAGTGGGGGAGAACAAGGGGTCACAAGACCAGTCAAGCAAAGCAAAGCAAAGCAAGCTCAGGGTGGATCACAACGTCACCACACAGTCCGAGCACAAGAGCAGGGCCAGAGGCCAGTTCACATGCAGGAGTACAGACATATATATAAAACTAGACAAGCAAGAGCAGGTATATATATATGTCACAGTACAAGTGAAGTCAAGTGGAGAGCAAGTGAGGCAAGACAGGTACAAGACCCAGCTGGGTGCAAAAGCGCTGATGGTCACAAGGCGCGAGTGCCTTGGTGAACACATCAGCAGTGTTGGCCTCAGAGGCCACGTACGCAAGTCGCAACTGACCACGCTGCTGCAGCTCACGAGCAAGGAAGTAGCGGAGAGCAATGTGCTTCGTTCTGTGCTCCAAGCGCTGCTCTCGACACAAGGCCAGCATGGCCTTGTTGTCTACGTACAGCACTGGAGGAGAAGGAGGCGGCTCTCCAAGGTCAGTCAGCAGGTAGGTGAGCCAGCGAAGCTCCTGTGCAGCCATGGCCCCGGCGTAGATCTCAGCCTCACAACTGGAGCCGAGAACTGAAGACGAGCGAGTAGACCGCCACGAGACAGAGCCGGAACCAAGGCTGAAGGTGTAACCCTGTGACGACCGCTGCGTAGCCTGGTCGTCAGCCCAAGAAGCGTCCGCGTGGCCGGTAAGGACCACTGGACTCCGCCCTCCAAGCACTAGCCCCATGCCCGACGTACTGCACAGGTAGCGCAATACCCTCTTCGCTGCAGCCATGTGCTCCGGTCTGTGTCTCCCAGGAGCAACATAGCGTGCAAGAATGCTCAGAGGGTATGCAAGGTCAGGTCGTGTGCAGGTCATCAGGTACATGAGGCAGCCAACAAGCTCTGCATACGGACCACTCGACTCTACGGACTCATCCGAAGGCAGAGCTGAGAGTGAGTGGCGAGTAGGCAGAGGAGTGGCCTGAGGCGAGGAGTACGTGAAGCCGAAGCGCTGAAGGACCTGCTGCACCATGTGTGACTGAGTCAAGGTAATGGTGCGGCGTGCTCTGTCCCGAGTGATCTGCAAGCCAAGGTAGCTGCGCAGTTCACCCAGGTCTCTGCACGTGTGTCTCTTCAGCAGCTCGGACTTCACGTAGGCGAGTCCAGCAGTGTCCGCTGTGGCAAAGACCAAGTCGTCGACGTACACGAGGATGTAGAACGGCGGTCATCTTCGGGGTGGGGGAGAAGGTCTGAAAGTAGTCAACTCCCTGCCGCTGACTGAAGCCACGAGCAACGTACCGTGCCTTGAAGACAGGTGGAGAGCCCGGCGGCCGCTTCACCCTGAAGATCCACATGCCACTGACGATGTTCGCCCCAGGAGGGGGAACCGCGTCAACGTAGGTGCCTGTGGACTTCCAGGAAGCCATCTCTGCATCCATAGCTGCCTGCCACTGAGAGGAGTAGGGACCCTCTACGGCCTCCGCGTAAGAACGCGGAGTCGGGATGTCAAGTGCATCCGGGTCTCCCTCAAGGGCAAGCAGTACAGACGCGAGATGAGGTGATGCAGCCGCTAGACACTGTAACTCCTCCTGCCTGTCCTCTAGGACGTCCGTGCCAAGAGCACACTCACCCCCGACGGACGGAGGACAGACAGACGCAGACTCAGCAACAAGACTAGCAGCGTAGTCGAGACGACAGCGAGCAGCAAAGTCGACGAGCTCAGCGACTAGAGCAGACGCAGCAGTGGACTCAAAAGAGGGGTCAGTGACGACAGTAGCAAGCAGACGCGTGACAGTAGGACTGGCAGCGCGAAGAGAGTCCGACTCAGGGTCGGCAAGCGCAGGAAGAGAGGACTCAGGAGGAGAAGGCAAAGGGGCACGTAGAGGAGCAGTGGACGGACGCAAAGACATCCGGTGCGTGCCAGGGACAGGAGGAGGACGCTGACGCGAACTGCGACCACTAGCGTGAGCAGCACGAACAGGCGACGCGGGACGAGACGCAGGCTCACGACGCTCAGCAAGACCTCCAGTAGGACCAGTGTAAGGAGAGGGAGCAGGCAGTGGAGAGGAAGGCTCCAGCGGGGACTGCGACTGGACAGGCGGTGGACCCTCTACTGGAGGAGAAAGACCAAGAACCTGCTGCAGGAGCGGAACGAAGTACGGCCGAGGCCGCGCGGCAGCTCCAGACTCAGCAGGGACAGCACCAGCACCCTCAGCGACAGCACCAGCGCCACCCACACCTCCAGCGGCAGGACCAACAGCAGTAGGCTCAGCACCAACGCCCTCAGCAGCTCCAGCTCCAGAAGGACCCGCAGGTCCAGCAGCCCCGGGACCGGCAGCACCCGCACCCTCGACGGTCGAAGAAGCTCCAGCTCCAGCTCCAGCAGCACCTCCAGACTCAGCAGCACGCCTCCAGCGGCGAGCGAACCACTCGCGCAGCTCCTGTGGAGAGAGGGGCTCCCGGCGAGACGCAGCAGCAGGAGAAACCCCAGGCTCAGCAGCTCCAGACGCAGCACCCCCAGGCTCAGCAGCTCCCAGCTCAGCACCCCCAGGCTCAGCAGCTCCCGACCCAGCACCCCCAGACCCAGCACCTCCAGGCACAGCACCCCCCGGCTCAGCACCCCCAGGCTCCGCACCCTCCGCAGTAGCACCCTCAGGCCCAGCACCCCCAGCAGTAGCACCCCCAGGCTCAGCACCCTCGCGCACAGCACCCCCAGAGTCAGCACCCCCAGGCTCAGCACCCGCAGCAGCACCAGAGTCACCAGTAACCTCGACCGGGTCAACGGCGTCTACCTGGGACACACCTGAGGGGGCAGGAACCTGAGGGGGGAGGGGGTCTACCGGGGGGGGAACCGGCACAAGGAAGTCCGGGGGAGGGGGGAGGGAAGGAGTGTGGTAGGGGAAGAGACGGTAGAAGGGGACGGACTCGTCGAACGTGACGTCCTGGGAGGACAGAACACGACGAGAGGAGGGGTGGTAAAACTGCCACCCTGGGGCGTCAGTGGGGAAGCCAAGGAAGACACAGGGAGCAGCACGAGGGGACAGCTTGTCCGCAGACAAGTCGCGGACAAACGCCCGAGATCCCCAGACACGGAACACAGACGCATCGCCAACCTTCCCCGTCCACAGCAAGGCTGGGGACATCGCAGGCCGAGAGACCCGGGGGTGAAGGTTGAGCTGATGCGCCGCGTACCTCACCGCAAACGGCCACAGAAAATGGGGGGCAGCCGCATGCATCATGGACGTACGAGCGACATCCATGACCATGCCAATGCGGCGCTCAGCAATCCCATTTTGCTGTGGTGAGTCCGGAAGCGTGAAGGTCTGGCGGATCCCCTGTGCACGACAGTAGTCCCGCAGAAGGCGAGAAGAGAACTCTCCGCCTCTGTCAGAGTGCAGACGCAGAACAGGAAAGTCCGAGCCGAAGCTCTTCCTGAGCTGGAGACGAGCCTCGCGGATCCAGTCGATCAGCACCTCAGTGACCGCACCCTTGCTGCGCAAGGGGAGGACTGTGGTGTAACGCGAGTAGTCGTCAACCACCAACAGGAAGTAGCGCTCGTAACCCTGCCCACGGACGGGGGCTGGGCCCCACACATCCATGTGAAGCGTCTGCAGGGGAGCCTCTGTCGGGGGGAAGTGGGAGGAGTGAGGAGTAGCCCGGAGGCGACCCTCGACACAGGGGACACAGGAAGGTCCTGGCCCGGAGGGGAGAGGAGGGAGAGACTGGGGAAGACCAGAGACAAGGACACGGGAAGCCATGCTCCGAAGACGGGGCAAGGAGGGGTGGCCAAGACGGTGGTGCCACAGGAGAGTCTCGTGAGACAGGAGGCGACAAGAACAGGGGGCAGACTCAGGACCTGACCGGGACGCAGCAGCAAGCACCTGACCCGACGCAGCCACCTGACCAGACGCAGGGACAGGAGGAGACTCAACGGTCAGGGTGTAGAGACTCGACCCCGGCCGACGCGAGAACGTGGCCAGGTGTCGGCCTGTGCGTGCCTCCGTGCAGTGGGTCACCCGCTGCCTCGCAGGAATGAACTGGTGAACCCCCACATCCTGCAGGTCCGCTCCACTCACCAAGTTCGTAGAGAACGAGGGAAGGTACAGACCCGACAGGGTGCCCGAAGGGGCAGCCGGACACGGGAGGACAGTGGAGAAGTGAGACAGGACAGGACCCCCAGAGGGGTCAGCAAGGGAGACCGCAACCGGCCGGCCGAGCGGCGTAAGGGTAGTGCGGTCTCGAAAGAAGGAGCGAGAAGCTCCGGAGTCAAGTGTGAAAGTGAGGGAGGACGAGGACGACGTAGTACCTGAGAGCGCAGTCTCACCAGTACCTGAGAGCACAGACGCACTGGCACCTAGAGCAGCAGCCTCACAAGCACCTAGCGCAGCAGTACCAATGCCCGGGTCGGGCTGGAAACAACGGTAACCCTCATTCTCCTCACTATAATCCACAACATACATAGCAGCAAGGATAGCATCAAAATCAAGATCAAAGATCGCTACACCAGCCCTGAGAAGCTCATCCCAGCGAGGGATCTCACTAGCCCCAGGGAACTGCTGACGCCAAGCGTCCGTCAGGCGGCCAAAGCAGCGCTGGGTGGCGTGGGCACCCCCACACTGCTCACCCGCGCGGTCGCCGGAACGAAGAACGTAGGTGCAGGGACCAGTACCCCCACCCCTCTGACGCCCAGCGTACCACTCACGAAGCTGCTGAGGCGGAGGGATGTCCCGCGAGCGCTGCTGCTGCTGCCGCTGCGAGCGCTGGCCACCACCACCGCCGCTACGCTGCTGGGTACCACCTCGACCAGCTCCACCTCCTCCACCACCACCGCCTCCTCCGCTGCCGCCTCCACCGCCTCCACCTCCGCCGCCTCCACCACCGCCGCTGCCTCCACCACCACCGCTGGCACCACCACCACCGTCTCCGCCACTGCTGCCACCACCACCACCACCCCCGCCACTAGTCCCGCCGCCACCCCCACTCCCTCCGCCGCCACCGCCGCCACCGCCACCGCCCCCTCCAGCTCCACCCGCGCCCTTGCCCCCCTTGCCCTTGCTGGAGCGACGTCTCCCACTAGGGGCAGACGCCGCGCCGACCGACTCAAGACCAAGCAGGTCGGCAGCAGCAGCAGAGGCAACAGAGGGCAGCAAGGGGGAAGGAGAGCACCCCTCAAAGATGGGGGTGCGAGGGTCACCACGAGAAGCACCTACAGCGACTATGCTCTTCTCCGCTGTGAGGAGGGCCTTCTCGAGGAGGTCGACGGTGAGGGTGGTGGGACAGACTGCGAGAAAGTGGTCCCTGACGACGCGAAGGGAGTCAGGGAGGCGCGCGACTACGTAGTAGAGAGCGATGTACATGGGGGGGGGGTTCTTAGCGCAGAACTCAGCAGGAAGGGCGGCGCGGTAGCGAGTGTCACTAGTGCGGAGGTGCGTAATGAGGTCAGCGACAGTGGGAAAGGCAGAGAGGTCAGGAAAGAGGTAGGGAAGCATGAGACGGCTCAGTGCAGCAGTGGCAGGGGAGGAGTAGCGCGCAACTACAGCGTCGTACAAGGTCTGAGCACTCTTGTACTGACTAAAGTGCGCACGCTCAGAGGTAGGGAGGTGGCGACGCACAGCAAGACGTGCAGCAGCATCGCGGGTGGCCCACTTAGAGCGGACAGTGGGATCAGCATCAGCAGCAGGAGCAGGAGAGGCGCCAGAGGTGAGGTCAAAGAGAGAAAGGTCGTCAGCCCTGTCGCACTGTAAGAACAGCTGCAGGTCGTCTAACCAGACCTCAAAATCAATGGCGCGACCCTCAGCGTCAAAAGCTAGGACACTAGGGGTAGCCATGGCGACGACAGCGACGCAGTGCAAGCAGTAGGGAAAGAGCTCGCAGTGTCAGTGGGACTGTGCTCACCAGGCAGGGCAGGTCGTGCAGCTATGCAGAAAGGCGGCTCAGCGACCGGGCGGCTCGGGTGCACAGCGGCTCGGCTCCCGGGCGGCTCGGTGGCTGGGCGGCTCGGGCGCAGGGCGGCTCGGCTCCCGGGCGGCTCGGCGGCAGGGCGGCTCGGGTGCAGGGCGGCTCGGCTCCCGGGCGGCTCGGCAGCAGGGCGGCTCGGGTCCCGGGCGGCTCTGCTGCTGGGGCGGCTCGGCCGGGAGATGCAGGGGCGGGGTCGTCAGGTGCAGCGGCGGGTCGACCGGTGCAGTGGCGGGCCGGCAGGTGCAGCGGCGGGCCGGCAGGTGCAGCGGCGGGCCGGCAGGTGCAGCGGCGGGCCGGCAGGTGCAGGCGGCGGGCCGTAGGGTGCAGCGGCGGGCCGTAGGGTGCAGCGGCGGGCCGGCAGGTGCAGCGGCGGGGCCGTCAGGTGAAGCGGCGGGCCGCTGGGTGCAGCGGCTGGCCGGCAGGTGCAGCGGCGGGCCGGCAGGAGCAGCGGCGGGCCGGCAGGAGCAGCGGCGGGGCCGTCAGGTGAGGCGGCGGGCCGGCAGGAGCAGCGGCGGGCCGTAGGGTGCAGCGGCGGGGCCGTAGGGTGCAGCGGCGGGCCGTAGGGTGCAGCGGCGGGCCGTAGGGTGCAGCGGCGGGGCCGTCAGAGGCGGCGGCGGGGCCGCGGCAAGTAGAGGCGGGGCCGCGTCAGGGGAGGCGGCGGGGCCGCGTAAGGGGAGGCGGCGGGGCCGCGTCAGGGGAGGTGGCGGGGCCGCGTCAGGGGAGGCGGCGGGGCCGCGTCAAGCAGGCGGCGGGGCCGCGATCAGGAGAGGTGGCGGGGCCGCGTCTGAGGGACAGCGGGGCCGCGAGGGAAAAGGCGACCCGAGGGGTCGCTAAAAAAAGGGCGCGCCTCGGGGCGCGCTTCGGTGGGCCCTAAAAAAACGGTCCTAAGGCAGGACCCGCTCTATACCATGTGAAGCAAGGAAAACAGGAATGAAAATGACTAAGTCAGAGTTGGGTACAAATACAACCCTAGAAAGCTGTACCCCATATGTGCTACCCCACTATAGCCTACAAACATGCATCAGTCATAATACTCTGACAGTTGGCTGCCTCATGTACCTGATGACCTGCACACGACCTGACCTTGCATACCCTCTTAGCATTCTTGCACGCTATGTTGCTCCTGGGAGACACCGACCAGAGCACATGGCTGCAGCGAAGAGGGTATTGCGCTACCTGTGCAGTACGTCGGGCATGGGGCTAGTGCTTGGAGGGCGGAGTCCAGTGGTCCTTACAGGTCACGCGGACGCTTCTTGGGCTGACGACCAGGCTACGCAGCGGTCGTCACAGGGTTACACCTTCAGCCTTGGTTCCGGCTCTGTCTCGTGGCGGGCTACTCGCTCGTCTTCGGTTCTCAGCTCCAGTTGTGAGGCTGAGATCTACGCAGGGGCCATGGCTGCACAGGAGCTTCGCTGGCTCACCTACCTGCTGACTGACCTTGGAGAGCCGCCTCGTTCTCCTCCAGTGCTGTACGTAGACAACAAGGCCATGCTGGCCTTGTGTCGAGAGCAGCGTCTGGAGCACAGAACGAAGCACATTGCTCTTCGCTACTTCCTTGCTCGTGAGCTACAGCAGCGTGGACAGTTGCGGCTTGCGTACGTGGCCTCTGAGGCCAACACTGCTGATGTGTTCACCAAGGCACTCGCGCCTTGTGACCATCAGCGCTTCTGCACCCAGCTGGGTCTTGTACCTGTTTTGCCTCACTTGCTCTCCTCTTGACCTCACTTGTACTGTCACATATATATACCTGCTCTTGCTTGTCTAGCTTTATATATATATGTCTGTACTCCTGCATGTGAACTGGCCTTTGGCCTTGCTCTTGTGCTCGGACTGTGTGGTGACTTTGTGATCCACCCTGAGCTTTGCTTTGCTTTGCTTGACTGGTCTTGTGACCCCTTGTTCTCCCCCACTTTGCCTATGGGGGTGTGTCAGAACATATATATAGCTTATGCTATTGTGTAGGCTGTAGTGGGGTATCCCATAGGGGGTACAACCCAACTAGGGTTTCCTATATGTACTCACTTCATTCATAGTTCATTCATTCTCGCTCTATTCTCCACAGATGCGCGACGAAAATAATCGAATTCTAGGTGCTGGTCGACTTACTGCGAGTCAAATTGACTGTAGAATCGACGAGCGCGAATTCTGTAGGTTGCGTAAATCTCCCTTACGCGAAATTCGCGTCCGATCTTGGCCGTTGAGGAGAAAATCGATCCGACGCTCCAAATTCCAACTTGTTTGGGCGAAATTCTCTGGGCCGTTGAGATGAAACTCGATCGAACGGTCGAAACTCCAACCTTTCCACCAGTAAATCTGAGGGAGGTTCGAAAACCGAATCGAGGGGGACTTAGAAAAATTGCGCGGAACTGGTTTTACATACCCGTGTCGGCGCTTTCGTCGTCGCCCCCGCGGTTTTTTAAAGGCCGGAACTAAGCGGTTGAAGACCTCGCGTGTAAACCCGCTCTGATTACCAAGTGTGAGCATCTGGGATCGAGCTCAGAAAAGATTATTCAAATTGAATTGAATGATCACCTGGGTACAACACGAGGCTATATATAGGCTCGACACAAGGCCCCGTAACGAGGTGTTACGCGAAGGTTCCGCGGATCGCGAAGCGTCCCGAACAGATCCTTACCGAATTCGGTAGAAGGGCATTCGGTGGCAACCGAAAAGCCAGAATTAGGTGCACGCAACCTAGCTCGGTGCTATAACTATAATAAAATATAGGAAAGCACCTAGCCTAGGAAATCAAGCAATTCATGCATGCATATAATTATCCTATGCTAGAAATAGCATGATAAAGTAAAGGCAAGCAAGCATAGCTGGCATAAGCCGTCCTACTCTCACAAAGGCCACAAGGCCAGTTCACATGCAAGAACATATATATAAAGGTAAAATAAGCAAGGGCAGGTATAGAAAGAATACAGTACAAACAACATCAAGAAGTGAGCAAGTGAGGCCAGGTAGGCACAAGACCTAGCACAGTACAGAAGCAATGATGATCACAAGGCAGAAGGGCCTTGGTGAAGATATCAGCAGTGTTGGCCTCAGAGGCCACGTAAGCAAGGCGCAGCTAACCACGCTGCTGCAGCTCACGAGACAGGAAGTAGCGGAGAGCAATGTGCTTCGTTGTGTGCTCCAGTCTGTGCTCCCGACACAAGGCCAGCATGGCCTTGTTGTCTACGTACAGAACTGGAGGAGAACGAGGCGGCTCTCCTAGGTCAGTCAGAAGGTAGGTGAGCCAGTGTAGCTCCTGTGCAGCCATGGCCCCTGCGTAGATCTCAGCCTCACTGCTGGAGCCGAGAACAGAGGACGAGCGGGTAGACCGCCACGAAACAGAGCCGGAACCAAGGCTGAAGGTATAACCCTGTGACGACCGCTGCGTAGCCTGGTCGTCAGCCCAAGAAGCGTCTGCGTGACCTGTGAGAACCACTCGACGTCGCCCTCCAAGCACTAGCCCCATGCCCGACGTACAGCACACGTAGCGCAACACCCTCTTCGCTGCAGCCATGTGCTCTGGTCTGTGTCTCCCAGGAGCAACATAGCGTGCCAAGATGCTAAGAGGGTATGCAAGGTCAGGTCGTGTGCAGGTCATCAGGTACATGAGGCAGCCAACAAGCTCTGGGTACAAGCCACTCGACTCTGCGGACTCATCCGAAGGCAGAGGTGAGAGCGAGTGGCGAGTAGGCAGAGGAGTGGCCTGAGGCGAGGAGTACGTGAAGCCGAAGCGCTGAAGGATCTGATGCACCATGTGTGACTGAGTCAGGGTAATGGTGCGCTGTGCTCTGTCCCGGGTGATCTGCAAGCCAAGGTAGCTGCGCAGTTCACCAAGGTCTGTGCACGTGTGTCTATTCTGCAGCTCGGACTTCACGTGGGCGAGTCCAGCAGTGTCAGCAGTGGCAAAGACCAAGTCGTCGACGTACACGAGGATGTAGAACGGCGGCAAAGAGGTGTTAGTGCGTAGAAACAGCGACGGGTCGGCTGTAGAAGGAGCAAACCCAAGAGCCGCAAGTGTAGTCCTCACTGTGTCGTGCCACTCACGTGGCGCCTGGCGGAGACCGTAGACTGGCCGCCGGAGGCTCCACTGGGTACCAGGAGGAAACGACCCAGTGAAGCCAGGAGGGTGGCGCAGCCAGATCTCCTCGTGGAGGCTGCCCTGCAGGAAAGCTGTGCTGAAGTCAAGAGAGTGAAGCTCGTAGTCGCGCTGAGCGGCTATGTGCAGCAGCACCCGAAGAGTGGTCATCTTCGGGGTGGGAGAGAAGGTCTGAAAGTAGTCAACTCCCTGCCGCTGACTGAAGCCTCGAGCCACGTAACACGCCTTGAAGACAGGCGGAGAGCCCGGCGGCCGCTTCACCCGGAAGATCCACATCCCACTGACGATGTTCGCCCCAGGTGGGGAAACCTTGTCAACGTAGGTGCCTGTGGACTTCCAGGAAGCCATCTCTGCGTCCATGGCCGACTGCCACTGAGAGGAGTACGGACCCTCGATCGCCTCAGCGTACGATCGAGGAGTCGGGATGTCTGGTGCATCTGGGTCTCCCTTAGGGGCAATCAGCGTGGACACGAGATGGGGCAAAGCAGCCGCAAAGCACTGGAACTCCTCTTGCCTGTCCTCAAGGACGTCCGTGCTAAGAGCACACTCACCCTCGACGGACAGAGGACAAACAGACTCAGACTCAGCAACAAGACTCGCAGCGTAGTCTAGACAACAGCGAGCAGCGAAGTCGACAAGCTCAGCAACTAGAGCAGACGCAGCAGTGGACTGAAAGGAAGGGTCAGTGACAACAGTAGCAAGAAGGCGCGTGACCGAAGGACTAGCAGCACGAAGGGAGTCAGACTCGGGGTTAGCAAGAGAAGGAAGAGAGGACTCTGGAGGAGACGGCAAAGGGACACGCAGAGGAGCAGTGGACGGACGCAGTGCCATCTGGTGTGTGCCGGGGACCGGAGGAGGACGCGGACGCGCAGCACGACGACTAGTGCGAGCAGCACGAACAGGCGACGTAGGACGAGACGCAGGCTCACGACGCTCAGCAAGACCTCCAGTAGGACCAGTGTAGGGAGAAGGAGCAGGTAGTGGGGAGGCGGGCTGTAATTGTGACTGCAACTGGACAGGCTGTGGACACTCTAAGGGAGGAGCAGGACCAGGAGAGAGGGCGGGAGACCAAGAACCTGCTCCAGGAAGGGAACGAAGTACGGCCTCAACCGCTCAGCGCCTCCAGACACCAGCAAGGACGGCACCAGTATCCCCAGCGGCAGCACCAGCGCTAGCAGAACCTCCAGCTCCAACAGCGCCAACTCCAGTACCCTCAGAATCACCAGCGCCAGCAGCATCGCCAGCGCCAACACCCCCAGCAGCTCCAGCCTCAGCAGCACCCCCAGACGCACCAGCACCAGTAGAAACACCAGCGCCAACACCCCCAGCAGCTCCACCTCCAGCAGCACCCAGCACCGACAGCAGCTCCAGCAGCACCCCCAGACTCAGCAGCACGTCTCCAGCGGCGGGCGAACCACTCGCGCAGCTCCTGTGGAGAGAGCGGCTCCCCGCCTCGACGAAGCACCGCCGGCGGCCACACGAGCAGACCCAGCACCCCCAGGCTCCGCACCCCCAGGCTCAGCACCCCCAGGCTCAGCACCCCCAGGCTCATCACCCCAAGTCTCAGCACCCCCAGACTCAGCACCCTAGACCCGGCACCCGCAGACCCCGGCAACCCGCAGGCTCAGCACCTCTAGCAGTATAGAGTTAACAGCTACCTCGACAGGCTTGACTGCATCTACCTAGGACACACCTGAAGGGGCAGGACCGTGAGGAGGGAGGGGGTCTACCTGGGTAGCACCTGGCGCAAGGAAGAGCGGCGGCGGGGGGAGGGGCGCAGTGCGGTAGGGGAAGAGACGGTAGTAAGGCACCGACTCGTCAAAGGTGACGTCTTGGGAGGACAGAACACGGCGCGTGGTGGGGTGGTTAAAACTGCCAGCCAGGCGCGTCAAGGGGGAAGCCAAGGAAGACGCAAGGAACAGCACGGGGGGACAGCTTGTCCGCAGACAAGTCGCGGACAAACGCCCGAGATTCCCAGACCCGAAACGCAGACGCATCGCCAACCTTCCCTGTCCACCGCAAGGCGGGGGAGGTCTCTCGCAAGGAGACCCGGGCTGAAGGTTGAGCTGATGCGTGACGTACTGAACCGCAAACGGCCACAGAAAATTGGGGGGCAGCCGCATGCATCATGGACGTACGCGCGACGTCCATGACCATGCCAATGCGGCGCTCAGGCAATCCCATTTTGCTGTGGAGAGGCCGGAAGAGTGAAGGTCTGGTGGATGCCCTGTGCCCGACAGAAGGCTCCCAGACGGGCAGAGGAAAACTCCCCGCCTCTATCCGAGTGCAGATGCAGAACACGAAAGTCCGAGCCGAAACCCTCTCTAAGCTGGAGACGAGCTGCGCGGATCCAGTCGATCAACACCTCAGTGACGTCACCCTTGCTGCGCAAGGGGAAGACTGTGGTGTAACGCGAGTAGTCGTCAACGACCAGCAGAAAGTACCGCTCTCTCCCCTGCCCACTGACGCGGGCGGGGCCCCACACGTCCATGTGTAGAGTCTGCAGCGGAGCCTCTGTCGGAGGAAACTCGGAGGAGTGAGGGGCGGCGCGCTGTCGCCCCTCGACGCAGGGGACGCAGGTAGGGCCAGGCCCCAGAGGAAGGGGAGGGAGAGACCGAGGAAGACCAGAGACAAGGACACGGGAGGCCATGCCTCGGAGACGAGGCAAGGAGGGGTGACCCAAGGCGGTGTTGCCAAAGGAAAGAGTCTGGTGGGACAGCAGACGACACGAGCAGGGGGCAGACTCAGGACCAGACCTGGACGCTGCAGCAAACACCCGACTCGACGCAGCTACCTGGGCAGACTCAGCAGTAGGAGGAGACTCAGCAGTAAGGGTGTACAGGCTCGACCCTGGCTGACGGGTGAACGTGGCCAAGTGGTCAGCCTGTCCGAGCACACGTGCAGTGGGTCACTCGCTGACTCGCAGGAGTGAACTGGTCAACCCCTCGATCCGGTAGGTCCGCCTCCACTCACCAAGTTCGTAGAGAACGAGGGGAGGTAGAGACCAGACAGGGTGCCAGAGGGGGCTGCAGGGCCACGCAAGGATCAGTGGAGAAGCTAGCAAGGACAGGACCCCTAGAGGGGTCTGCCACGGAGACTGCAACCGGCCGACTAAGCGGCGTAAGAGTGGTGCGGTCTCGAAAGAAAGAGCAGGACGCACCCGAGTCCAGGGTGAAGGTGTGGAAGGCCTGAGCCGGACGTAGTACCTAAGAGAGCAGACTCACCAGCACTTGGGGCGGGCAGACGCACTGGCACCTGGGGCAGCAGACGCACTAGCACCTAGAGCAGCAGCCTCACAGCACCTAGCGCAGCAGCCTCAATGCCCAGGTCAGGCGGTACACACAGGTAACAGGCACCCTCAACACTATCAGCAAAAGCATACATGGCAGCAAGAATAGCATCAAAGTCAAGATCAAAGATAGCAACCCCGGCCTTAGCCAGATCTCCCCAGCAAGGGATCTCTGACGCCTCAGGGAACTGGCGATGCCACGCGTCCGTCAGGCGACCAAAGCAGCGCTGGGTGAGTGCGGACCTCCGCACTGCTCACCAGTGCGGTCGCCCGGTACGGAGAACGTAAGAGCAGGGACCAAAACCCCCACCCGCGCTGGCGTGCAGTGTACCACGCACGAAGCTGCTGAGGGGACAGGCTCACACCACTCCGCTGCTGTTGGTGGCGCTGACCACCACCGTCGCCACTCCTTGGCGCAAAGTCGCTACTCGCATCCACCACCGCGCCCGCCGGCCGCGCCCCTCCGCCGCCTCCGCCGCCTCCGCCGCCTCCTCCACCTCCGCCTCCTCCACTACCTCCGCCGCCTCCGCTCCCTCCGCTACCTCCACCCCCTCCGCCGCCTCCACTGCTGCCGCCGCCACCGCCACCCCCGGCACACTCCACCACCACCCCACTCCCTCCGCCGCCTCCACCACCACCTCCACCGCCCCCTCCACCCCCTCCAGTGCCCTTGCCCCCTTGCCCTTGCCGGTGCGGCGTCTCCCGCTCGGGGCAGACGCAGCGCCGACCGACTCGAAACCAACGAGGTCGGCCGCAGCAGCAGAGGCAACAGAGGGCAAGAGGGGGTGAGGGAGAACACCCTCAAAGACGGGGGTGCGAGGGTCACCACGAGAGGCTCCTACAGCGACTATGCTCTTCTCTATCGCTAGGAGGGCCTTCTCGAGGAGGTCAACGGTGAGAGTGGTGGGGCAAACAGAGAGGAAGTGGTCCCTGACTACCCGAAGAGAGTCAGGGAGCCGGGTGACTATGTAGTAGAGGGGATGTACATGGGGGGGGGTTCTTGGCGCAGAACTCAGCAGGAAGCGCAGCGCGGTAGCGAGTGTCACTAGTGCGGAGGTGCGTAATGAGGTCAGCGATGTGGGAAAGGCAGCAAGGTCAGGGAAGAGGAAACGGTAGCATGAGGCGGCTCAGTGCAGCAGTGGCAGGGGAAGAGTAGCGTGCAACTACAGCGTCGTACAAGGTCTGAGCACTCTTGTACTGGCTAAAGTGTGCACGCTCAGTGGTCGGCAAGTGGCGGCGCACAGCAAGGCGAGCAGCAGCGTCACATGTGGCCCACTATGAGCGAACAGTGGCGTCAGCATCAGCAGCAGGGGCGGGGGAGGGGCGGGAGGACCAGAAGTGAGGTCAAACAGGGAGAGGCCGTCTTCCCTATCGCACTGCAGGAAAAGCTGCAGATAATCTACCCAGACCTCAAAGTCCACTGCCCGACCTCAGCGTCAAAGGTGAGAACGCTAGGGGAAGCCATAACAGTAATAGGCAGGGCAGTGCAGTTGCAGAGACTGTGCTCTTACCATGTAGGTGGAAGCGAACGGGCTGCTCGGCGGCTCGGCTGTCGGGCGGATCGGCTGCAGGGCGGCTCGGCTGCTGGGCGGCTCGGCTGCTGGGCGGCTCGGCTGCTGGGCGGC